CTACCAATGCTAAAAGAAATCGATCGCAAAGAGCTCTCCCGAGTGGGCGAGCTCAAAAGAACAGTCCAAGCACCTCAATGTCATGTAGGTAACGAATAAAAAATTACTGCACAATGTGAAAATTGCTTTGATTGCCCTTCAAGATCAAGATCTTAAAAGAGAAACCACAAAAATCAAAGATGAGGTACATAAATGAAATCAATAGTAACCATCTATTGCAAAAAATGGAGACTACAAGGATTCACAATTTTTTAGTTTTAGATGTAGCCAACCTTCCTGCACAGCCCAATTAATTTATCAACTACCTCGTAAGAGTTTTCCTCGCTATGGCAAGGAAAAACTTTAGCGTTTTTAACAAAACTGGCTAAGCTTGAAAAGCAACTTGGTAATTTTTTTGGGAATTACCCGTTCCATTATCAAAATCCAACTCCATTTTTAACTAGGCCTCTGGATTCAGAGGCTGCAATCTGCTGTGTAATATTTCAGCATGTACATGCTTGTCGCACATTAACAGGAAAAAACCATATTATACATTGCATATATTATTATATATATATATTATTATATATTATTATATATATATTGCATGCATAATTAGGAAAAAACCAGCCGTTTCTCTCAAAATTCGGAGGAAAACTCATTGACACTTCAGGAAGAGAAGTATAATGTAAAATGATTTTGAAATGAAAAAATTGACATAGCACCCTTTGAAATCATAAGCATCATACAGGGTCTTCAAAAAGTCCACCCCTCCACCCCATTGACTTTTGAACAGCTGCACCAAACCGAATCAAATTTCAAAATTCAAACAGCCACGGAAGGCAGCAGTCTAGGGGATAACCTGTGTCTAAGATTGTAAAAATCTTGAAACACACATCGATGAGTTTAAGCGCAGAACTGCAATTGTACAAGATATCTCTGAAAAAGATGTTGTATTCGCAGTCAGGGATAGATCCGATGATTACTGCCGAAGGCTGCGCAGGGAGTTCCTTCCTTTGCAGTAAGTCATCTCTCAACTTAATTTTTATTTTGGCTTCTTCAGCAGATTTGGCATATAATAAGAACCGATTTTTGTTTTCTACAAGGGTGGGTTTCAAGCCTTTTTTAAGTGCAACTGAAGGTAGGAGGAGTGGCAGTAAGAACAAGGCAGTAATCTCCAACGATTTTTCATCTGCACAAAGGAACAAGGATAAGACTTACTTAGATTTAATTAAAATGCATGCTTGAAAATATCGGACTTTCAAAGGTGGAGTAACCAGCACATTCCAAGGCCAGTCCATGTTAACTCAACGATGATTTGAACATTGACATCTCAGAGCCTGTTCAAACTCTTGTGTGCTTTAACCTCCCAATTAAAAAAAAAAAATGATTCCCCGAAATTCAGGTCATTTGGTGTCCGTTGATTATTTACGGAATTTCAAAATTGGCAAAATATAATTGAATTTTTTGGGACCAATAAAATTTCTAAATCTGACAAACTTGAACTAGGTCTTGTTGTTTTGAAGCTTAAAACTGCCTTTTTTCAAGACGAAAAAAAAAAATTGAAATTTTTTGAGGAAATTTTCAAATCGATATTAAGGCCCGTTTTTAAAATTTCTGTTTCTTTTTGTGAGTGACCATCACAGCCTTTAAGCAATTTCCAAAGTTTCATCATGCCATGCCAAGCAGTAACCAGCACATTCCAAGGCCAGTCCATGTTAACTCAACGATGATTTGAACATTGACATCTCAGCGATAAGCCTATCGTAACCCACTTGTGCATCAAAATCCCACTTGGCAAATGGCATCATATGCCTACATACATGAGCCCTGAGTGGAAGCAACGTTCGGCTTCAAAAGTTCAAGTATATCCGATTAACTGTTGAGAAGTTACAGCCGTATAAAGTTGTATTGGTCACAAAAAAAATTCAATTTTTTTGCCAATTTTGACATTCTACAAAATATTAACGAAGCTAACAGATGACCTAAAATTTGGAGAGTAATTCTTTTTTAATAGGTAGGTACTTTCAGCATACAAAGTTCAGTCTGGTAGGTCAGGATTCAAAACCTGCTTGAATTGACACAGACTGACCTTACATTTGCGAATTATACTCTCAAATTCAGGCTTTTGCCACAGATGAATTGAGTTACACAGAAAGGAGTCAACTCAAACTGGATTCATTTCTGGAAAAAAGAGTTTCACTTCGAAAGACCCAATCACAAATTCAGCTTTCCATTCAATATTATTTGGACTAATTCCTGTGTGAACCAATAACATAATTGAGTAAAATATTGAATAAAAAAAGAGACCAATTTAACAGCACGCAGTACCATAATCGCGAATAAAGCAGAGTGTGCTTCATGTTTATAAAAGAAATTACAGGTCAGCCCAATTGGAGGTGGCAGGTCTGTATGATTCATGTCATGTCATTTGAAAAAAAAAAAAATTGAGGTTTTTAGCCAGCCCCCCCCCTACTCTTGGAGCTTAAAAATTCCTTTACCTGCAGTTTCGTGCTTTGCTGTCATGCTGTAAATGTTGCCATGCTGAAGCTCAAATCTTCTTTGCTTCTCACACAGTGGAAATTGCCATGTGGCCTTAGATTGATTGCAATTTGTCGCATTTCTTTTATAAACATGAAGCACACTCTGCTTTATTCGCGATTATGGTACTGCGTGCTGTTAAATTGGTCTCTTTTTTTATTCAATATTTTACTCAATTATGTTATTGGTTCACGCAGGAATTAGTCCGAATAATATTGAATGGAAAGCTGAATTTGTGATTGGGTCTTTCGAAGTGAAACTCTTTTTTCCAGAAATGAATCCAGTTTGAGTTGACTCCTTTCTGTGTAACTCAATTCATCTGTGGCAAAAGCCTGAATTTGAGAGTATAATTCGCAAATGTAAGGTCAGTCTGTGTCAATTCAAGCAGGTTTTGAAGCCTGACCTACCAGACTGAACTTTGTATGCTGAAAGTACCTACCTATTAAAAAAGAATTACTCTCCAAATTTTAGGTCATCTGGTAGCTTCGTTAATATTTTGTAGAATGTCAAAATTGGCAAAAAAATTGAATTTTTTTTGTGACCAATACAACTTTATACGGCTGTAACTTCTCAACGGTTAATCGGATATACTTGAACTTTTGAAGCCGAACGTTGCTTCCACTCAGGGCTCATGTATGTAGGCATATGATGCCATTTGCCAAGTGGGATTTTGATGCACAAGTGGGTTACGATAGGCTTATCGCTGTAACTTGGCCGCTTGGCATGGCATGATGAAACTTTGGAAATTGCTTAAAGGCTGTGATGGTCACTCACAAAAAGAAACAGAAATTTTAAAAACGGGCCTTAATATCGATTTGAAAATTTCCTCAAAAAATTTCAATTTTTTTTTTTCGTCTTGAAAAAAGGCAGTTTTAAGCTTCAAAACAACAAGACCTAGTTCAAGTTTGTCAGATTTAGAAATTTTATTGGTCCCAAAAAATTCAATTATATTTTGCCAATTTTGAAATTCCGTAAATAATCAACGGACACCAAATGACCTGAATTTCGGGGAATCATTTTTTTTTTTAAATTGGGAGGTTAAAGCACACAAGAGTTTGAACAGGCTCTGGATGCAATGTTCAAATATTAGTAACATCTCCTTGAATCTGTACTCCTTGATCCGAATTTCAGATGCTTTATATCTAAGTAATCATTGTTTTAGTGAAAACGTTGGAGTCTGCCTTGTTCAGCACTCTCCACTTCGTTGACTAGGTTACTTCGCAGAAAAGCCTGGTGGCGTCCTGGGTAAGATAGAATCAAAGAAAAAAAACCAAAGGAACCTCCTATCCACCTCCTATACCAATGAACACAATACAAAATTCGCCGAAGCTGATTTAAAAAGAAACTTATACGCAGACATGTCTGGAATGGCCGCATGGTTTTCGTTCCCGTCGCGTGGCGAAGAACCAAGTTCATTCTGGGGGGCTATGACCTTTACACCAGCTTACCCAAGGGGCCTTGGTGTTCAGGTGCTCAACAGATGACTTGAAAATCGTTGGAGATTACTGCCTTGTTCTTACTGCCACTCCTCCTACCTTCAGTTGCACTTAAAAAAGGCTTGAAACCCACCCTTGTAGAAAACAAAAATCGGTTCTTATTATATGCCAAATCTGCTGAAGAAGCCAAAATAAAAATTAAGTTGAGAGATGACTTACTGCAAAGGAAGGAACTCCCTGCGCAGCCTTCGGCAGTAATCATCGGATCTATTCCTAACTGCGAATACAACATCTTTTTCAAAGATATAACGTACCATTGCAGTTCTGCGCTTAAACTCATTGATGTATGTTTTAAAATTTTTACAATCCTGGACACAGGTTATCCGGTTGACTGCTGCCTTCCGTGGCTGTTCCTCCGCAAATTTATTTGGGAATTAGAATCTGATTGTGACACTCGATATAGATGCATCGGAACCCTTGCTGGAGACCTACATCTTTATTGATTGTTGTATAAAATTTTTGGTCTCAAATAACTTATTCTTTCAAAAAATGTTTGTTTGCTAAGGTTTTTATTTAGGTAGGAAAGGAGTTAATATGGCTTCATATCCCTTCAAGTTTTGAAAGTTCTCCTATTTAAAGTACTTTTTTCTATTTGCATTTTCAATATTCTTGTTTATTTTTAGCCTAAAATGGCTTTTTGCTTTCTTTGTAAGGACCTCTCTTTTCTCTTTTATTCTGAACTTATTCAGCACTTTAAGACAGATCATAGTCTGGATGCTAAAAGCTGTGTCACATGTAGTCAACCTTCCTGCAATCGCATGTTCACAAACAGAAACAGTTTTAAGAAGCACTTTCTGAAGTCTCATCCAGAAATACCCCTAGAATGTGATCTTAGTGTAGATCCCATTCTACTTGATGAATTTCCGGACGACAACATTATTGAAACTGAACAATCAATGCCACCCAATGGGTTTCATATTCCTAGCACAAGCTCTACCAAATTTTTGGAAAATCCCAATGTTATCATTAATAATGATGACAGCAGCTGTTCTATCATGACAGATGAAAAAATCCAGCAAATAGTTGAAGACAGTATTTTGTGCTTCTGTAGTCTTCTTAATAGCTTTCCGGCTATACCGTCGTCATATATACAGCTTGTGACAAATAATGTGATAACTTTAGTTCAGGTACTCACCAATGTATATCAAAATAAATTAATTAGTGCTTGCTCAAATTCAAGCGATGAAGGCGTGGAACACAATCTTACAGCCATAAATAATGTATTCTCCATTGTTGAGAATAGTTTTGACAAATTCAGAACTCATTATAAGCAAATGAAGGCATTCAAAGAAGGAGGGACTTACATTGCCCCTACAAATATTGTTCATGGTCGCATATTTAAAAGACGCAAACTGAAATCAGGAATTCACATTGTCCCAGTTAAAGTTACTAGTACAATAGTACCCATTCGAAAGGTTTTAAAAAAATTCATCAGCCAAAAAAATGTTCTTAAAGATATACAGGACTACACCGAAGAATTGGAAAAAGAAGATTTAGTTATTACAAACTTTATGCAAGGAAATTGTTGGCGTAGAGTTCCAAAAAGGCAAGATGGGGTAGTTTTACCACTTTTTATTTTTAATGATGCTTTCGAGTGTGGAAACCCACTGGGAGGGCATGCTGGGTTAAACAAAATTGAAGGCACTTATTTATCACTTCCATGTTTGCGGCCAGAAAATAGGTCAACTCTTAACAAAATTTTTCCTTTTATGTTATCAAATTCCCTAAACCTTAAACGGTTTGGAAAGAAAGTGGTTTTCAAACATGTTGTCAAAGAGCTGAACATTCTTGCAAAAGAAGGTATAACAGTTGAGAGTGATACCTTCAACAAAGTTCGAGTTTTTTTCCAACTTGGTTTGTTACTGGGTGATAACTTGAGTCTAAATGGATTAGGTGGCTTCACAGAAAACTTCTCAAAAAGCAACTATTGTTGTAGAATATGCTACTGCACTAAAATGGATAGGGAAAGTATGACAAGCGAAAATCCAGCTCTTCTTAGAAAACCATGGATGTACGAAAGGGACGTGGAAAAGAAAAATCCCAAAGATTCAGGTGTCAAAGAAAGGTGCGTACTTAATGATGTAATCAATTTTCATATTTTGAGGAACTGCTCTTGCGACATAATGCACGACGTATTTGAAGGCATTGCCAAATTCGACATTCTTTTTTTAATTACCTATTTTATAAAAAAAAAGAAATTTTCTCTGGCTGAATATAATTCAAAATTAAATCGGTTTGATTTTGGTGTCGATAACTCAAGCAGACCTCCCGCGTTAGGAAAAAGTTATGCCAAGAAAAAAACAATGAAAATTTCATCCTCGGAATGCATGTCATTAGTCAAATACTTACCTCTTATTATTGGAGATTTGACAATCCTAGAAGATCCTGCATGGGACCTGTTTGTTTCTCTTCGGAGAATTGTTGACATTATCATGAGACCCTCTGTACCTCTGGACCATTGCGATCTGTTAACTCGATATGTTCAAGAACACCATTCACTTTACATGAATCTTACAGGGAGAAACCTGACCATAAAATTTCACAACTTAGTACACTACCCAAGGCTAATTAGGGAGTATGGTCCTTTAATTCATACATGGTCGATGCGATATGATGCTAAACACAAGGTCCTTAAAAGTGTAGCAACTTCAGTAGCAACCCGAAAGAATCTCTCATTTACTATCGCTAAGAAGAGCCAATTGCATCTTAGCCACGAGTTTTACAATAATAATTTTGTCAGAAGTAGTGTGGTGTGGGGACCCAATGCTTTTTCTAGCTCCAATTTTTGGGAAAATTTGGACACAACTCTTCTCACCACCCCCTGTCCAGAAGTCTTGAAACACAAAAACACCGCCATTCGTCCATGGATTGAGATCCATGGAACCAAATATCAAGAAGGTGTAATTTTGAATCTTGACATTGATGAGGTGACCAGTTTACCTTTATTTGGTGTTTTTAAAAAGGTTTTTATCACAGAAGATCAGAAAGTTTATTTTTTCTTACAGAACTACCAAACAACAGAATTTGACACGAAGTTGTTCTCCTTTAAAATTGAATTGGTTCAATCTTACTCATTTCTTGAACAGGAAAAAATTCATGATTATCACATTCACACAGGTGTCCGTGCATTTGGAGGTTTATATGTTAGCCCCCTCTATTGGTAATTTTCCATCATTCCTTTTGCATACGCACATATATTGTAGAAATTTTGAATCACTGAGGGGGACCCACAGGGACTTTAAAAGGTTTAGCTCCCCACCCTGCCACCTCCCTATTAACTTTCGAATGGATGCAGCTAGTCTAATAAAGTTTTCACAGTGTTCCTAGGTCAAAAATACCTGCTATAATTTTGGCGTTCTTGAAATTCTGGTGGGCACCTCCGTGACGCTAGACTCCAAAATCTCAAATAAATACCTTTACTGCTAATTTTTACTGCAATTTTTTTTTCTCTTTTTAAACACTTGTAATTCTGGACGTTTGAAGCACAAGTTTGCCTCCCAGCACTCATTCATTAGGCGCACACAATTTCTTAAAAATTAGTCTATTTCAAACTTCGTGAATAATTCGGGAACAAAAAGTTCACGGACCTCTGCTTCAGCTCAAAAATTGTTTTACGATCCTTTCCTGAATAATGCAACAAAAAATGGGGGTTGCAATTTTAAATTTTCGAGTTAGTTTTGCCTATCAGCTCGGGGCGTTGCCTCAAAATTTTGAGTCTCCCAAAATGTAGGTACTATTAATGTAAGATCACAATCAAAATTTGATTCGGTTTGGTGCAGCTGTTCAAAAGTCAATGGGGTGGAGGGGTGGACTTTTTGAAGACCCTGTATGATGCTTATGATTTCAAAGGGTGCTATGTCAATTTTTTCATTTCAAAATCATTTTACATTATACTTCTCTTCCTGAAGTGTCAATGAGTTTTCCTCCGAATTTTGAGAGAAACGGACTGGTTTTTTCCTAATTATGCATGCAATATATATATAATAATAATATATATATAATAATAATAATAATATATGCAATATATAATATAGTTTTTTCCTGTTAATGTGCGACAAGCATGTAAATGCTGAAATATTACACAGCAGATTGCAGCCTCTGAATCCAGAGGCCTAGTTAAAAATGGTAGTTGGATTTTGATAATGGAACGGGTAATTCCCAAAAAAATTACCAAGTTGCTTTTCAAGCTTAGCCAGTTTTGTTAAAAACGCTAAAGTTTTTCCTTGCCATAGCGAGGAAAACTCTTACGAGGTAGTTGATAAATTAATTGGGCTGTGCAGGAAGGTTGGCTACATCTAAAACTAAAAAATTGTGAATCCTTGTAGTCTCCATTTTTTGCAATAGATGCTTACTATTGATTTCATTTATGTACCTCATCTTTGATTTTTGTGGTTTCTCTTTTAAGATCTTGATCTTGAAGGGCAATCAAAGCAATTTTCACATTGTGCAGTAATTTTGTATTCGTTACCTACATGACATTGAGGTGCTTGGACTGTTCTTTTTTGTATTCCTCATTATTGTGCAGTAATTTTGTATACATTACCTACATGACATTGAGGTGCTTGGACTGTTCTTTTTTGTATTCCTCATTATTTAGGCTCATGATAATTCTCCCCGTAATTTCATCAGTTCTGATGATCGTGGGCAAACTCGATATTCGATGTTTTCGAAATATTCCGTATTTGCATCTCCTCTAATTTTACATACAAGTAATAACTGTCATATTATTAAAAATTCAACTTTCTAGCTATACTGGCAACAAGTTTATGTGTAACATATTAAATTGTCAGGCCCTTCCGCGCCTCTTCCCTCTTTCTTTTTTACNCCACCTCCAATTGGGCTGACCTGTATTTCAACAGACCCTTTGGACCAATCCACTGACCCATGAGCGACGGAAAAATGCCTAAAAATTGCGTTTTTAGGCACTGTCTTCATTCTGCGATAGGTTGCTCTACTCAAGCTGCCCGTAGTACCACTTGAGCACGCTAATTCCTTACCCCTATTCAGTGCTCGATTGTACACGCTGACTACTCTTAATAAAAAGGCCTGGAGTACGCACCTGACAATGATCCTCTTATTTCAAACACTCAGCATGATAATTATCACCTCACTTAATATGCCTCATCCATATTTCCAAGGATATAGAGTGACTCCACTCCTTCTCGACCTACGTTGTTTATCCCTGCCTTCCATGCAAATTGACTTTAAATAGTACTTAATTTAAAAATAACTTTTCTGACTCATGCGTTCTCTGATTTGGCCGTACTGTTACAACATAATAGAACTTGGCTAAGGCCCTTTTTCTGGAGTATAAATTCACATACAGGGTGTACCAAAAGTCCGTCCCACCCCTGCTAACTTTTGAACGAATTGAGCTAGGGTAATGAAACTTTGGGAATGTTCCTATCTCAAAGGGGACCATCTTTTGGGGGGAGGGGGTCAAAATTTTGGTCCCCCCTCAGGGGGGGCGGGGGGCCCCTAACTTTTTTTTTCAAATGGCAACCCCTATCTTGTGATACCTCATT